CTTGCCTCTGAATTATCTTCTTCCTCCTAGTTAATCATTTAATAAAAGATGGTGTGGTAATGGTGTTGAATGATGTAATAAATAGTGAATATATAGTGAATTTTTAGTTATATATTTAATTGAAACTACTTTACAATTACATTTTTTGGTTTCTAAATTATTACCTTCCCTAAGTAAATCGTTTGATGTAAGATAGTGTGATAATGGCATGAAGTGATAGTAATAGAAATTGTGCAACTATATATCAATAATTATGTATCAATAAACTATATATCAATAAATTATGTAAAAATGATTTACAAGTATATTGTTTGAATCATCACATCCCTCTAAGTAAAACATGCTATACAAAATGTATGAAACTGGTATTGAATGATATAAATCATTATCATATTTTACTTTAACTGGGAATTTCTAGAGCTTTTGATATTTAAGTTGTATGACTTTTTTTTTTACTATAGGAACATAGATTAAAAGTTTTATTCTTACTTTAATTAGTATAGTTATTAGTCCAACATATCATTGTTATTTTAGCCTGATTAAAAGATATTGTAGTGTTATATTGATTTTTAATTTTTTTCCAAACTTACGCAAATCAATTTTTTGTTATGTATATATGTTTTTAAGTTCTATGTTTGTTATTTCTTATGTTCTACAAAAACTAGTATTGATTATTTTATACTTTTATTTAAAAAGTTATTTTTTTTTTGTGCAAATTGAAAAATGTTTCTTTATTAAATTAATTTTTTTCTTTTTTTTTCAGTTTGTCCACAAGGTTCTGCTCTACTTTTTTTTTTTATGTTTAATTTGACTACTGTTATAATATGGTTTTAATTTAGTAAATTTTTATGAATTGAAATTTACTTTATTAATCATTAGCCAACAGTTTAGGTAATAATATTGATTTCATCACCATTAAGGTAAGAATAATTTTCTTCTCTGTTCACACCATTAAACAGTTTGTTATATTTTATTTTTATTATTATTATTGGTATTTTTCACCAAAGCAGTTTTTTATGATTATTATATTTTTATAAAAAGTGTTTTATAACTATTATAAGTTTTTAACTATTATAAATTCGAAATGAATATTTCCGATATAAGGGTGCATATTTTTATAAAAAAAAATTTACTAAAATGATCAACTCCACTAAACGGTATGAATTGTTATTGAACCTGTACTAAGTTAAACAAAACTGGAATTAAGTAAAAACAGTAATTTTAAATATAATAAATCACTTCTTTTCTCTTAGGCATTTATGGCTAGATATGTTCCACCAGTGACTTTACTCACTTGTTCTATTTGCAAACTTTATATATAAAGAGAACATAATAAGATCGGACTGAACAAGACTGAGAATCAAAATATTTACAAACACACAGATTCATACAAATAAAGACCCATAAAACTTTAACCTTTAGAACAGTACAAACACAAAACACAATAACTTGCAAAACACTGAAACAACACTTAATTTAAATCTAACATAACCAACACTCACTTAAATCAAAGTAAATCACTAAATAGTACTCTCCTTTTAAATATCACCTCTCAATACTAGGCATCTGTCCAAATATTTTAATTTCTCTAGGACTCACTTGCACCTATATAAAATATTTCTTCCTTCTCTTAAGACTATTAAGGCCTGATAGTTCAATAAAAGTGATGGAACTTTAATAGCTTCCATAACAAAACAAAAGCAAAAAAAAAAAAAACACAACTTAATGGTGTGACCAGAGAACAAAGTTATTCTTAATTTAAAACTATTTAGAATAACACCAGATTCTCGTCAGGAAGTGGACATTACATTGATATAAAGATTCAATACTCCGGTATTTTACTAAAAATATGATAATCATAAAAAACTGCTTTGGTGAAAAATACCAATAATAATAATAAAAATAAAATATAACAAACTGTTTAATGGTGTGAACAGAGAAGAAAATTATTCTTACCTTAATGGTGATGAAATCAATATTATTACCTAAACTGTTGGCTAATGATTAATAAAGTAAATTTCAATTCATAAAAATTTACTAAATTAAAACCATATTTTAACAGTAGTCAAATTAAACATAAAAAAAAAAAGTAGAGCAGAACCTTGTGGACAAACTGAAAAAAAAAGAAAAAAATTAATTTAATAAAGAAACATTTTTCAATTTGCACAAAAAAAAAATAACTTTTTAAATAAAAGTATAAAATAATCAATACTAGTTTTTGTAGAACATAAGAAATAACAAACATAGAACTTAAAAACATATATACATAACAAAAAATTGATTTGCGTAAGTTTGGAAAAAAATTAAAAATCAATATAACACTACAATATCTTTTAATCAGGCTAAAATAACAATGATATGTTGGACTAATAACTATACTAATTAAAGTAAGAATAAAACTTTTAATCTATGTTCCTATAGTAAAAAAAAAAGTCATACAACTTAAATATCAAAAGCTCTAGAAATTCCCAGTTAAAGTAAAATATGATAATGATTTATATCATTCAATACCAGTTTCATACATTTTGTATAGCATGTTTTACTTAGAGGGATGTGATGATTCAAACAATATACTTGTAAATCATTTTTACATAATTTATTGATATATAGTTTATTGATACATAATTATTGATATATAGTTGCACAATTTCTATTACTATCACTTCATGCCATTATCACACTATCTTACATCAAACGATTTACTTAGGGAAGGTAATAATTTAGAAACCAAAAAATGTAATTGTAAAGTAGTTTCAATTAAATATATAACTAAAAATTCACTATATATTCACTATTTATTACATCATTCAACACCATTACCACACCATCTTTTATTAAATGATTAACTAGGAGGAAGAAGATAATTCAGAGGCAAGTTTAGTAATTTATTCGGGGGAAGGTATAATTCAGATATTTGTAAATTATTTTTACATAATTATAGAACTAATTTAATCAGTTAGTTTAAAAAAAATATATACAACTATCAACTAATTATTAATTATTTTATAGTTGTTGAGTTTTAATCATTATTCTTTAATAAAGATCAGACCATTTTACATTGAGCGATTTACAAAGTGGAGGTATTAATTCATACAGATATAATTTATATCTGTCTGAATTTTACTTTTACATATACTGTTATATAATAAAAGTATTTGTAAAACATTTTCATGTAAATAAATAACTAATTAGTTTATAGTTTTTTATTTTCCATCACTACGACGCTTTCTTATATCGTCTTTCATATAATACTTTTATGTAAACTCTATTTCTAGAGTTCTTGCCGTCTAAACGTTTTTTTCTCCTTGTTTATGTTTACCAAGGTAATACGGACCTTTTAGGTACACTTCTAACAGTTATAACCCGAAAGCGCAATCTCGTTTTGAGTTTTTCATAGGGGGATGGAATAATTCAGGCGGTGGGAATAATCTACTACAGAGTAGAACAGAACAGAAGTTTCAGTGAAACTTACTATTATTCTACATAATAGTAAGTTTCACTGAAACTATGGCCCAGTTCCACGATTATGGATTTGTTATTCAAGTATGTTGGACGCAGTATACTGACAACCTTGTTGGCTTTTTTCAAGCATCAAAAGTCAATGGCAATCGGGGATAAAGGATTGGAAAAATTTATCACAAAAGATAAAAATGCACAGTTCATCCCAACATCACATTGAAGCCTGTGCGGTGCTCGAATTATGGAAGAAAAATAAAACCATCGATAAAAAAGCTGAAGATGAAATACGATATAGGGCATCATTTTGGCAGATGGTTCTAGAACAATTATTCCGCATAACACTTATGTTATCAAAAAATTCTTTGGCATTTCGTGGTCACCTTGAAGGATTTACTGAGGATTATAATGGAAACTTTTTATCACAAGTTCAATTACTTTCTAACTACGACAGTGTCATGAAACAAATTTTAGAAATGCCATCTGGTTCAATCCGATACTTAAGTCCGACCACACAGAATGAACTAATACATTGCCTGGGAAAAAGTTATTGAATGACTTGATTGCAAATATTAATTCATCACCATTTTATGCCCTAATGTTAGACACAACACAAGACATTACCAAGAGAGACCAATTAAGTGTTATAATACGGCATGTTCACATTGTTAGAAATGTAAATCAAGAACCAACTCATTTTAAAATTAAGGAAAAATTTTTAGGATTTTATGAATTGAAGGACCATTCAGCAGAGGGAATGACTAATCAATTATTGACGTTATTGAAAGAAGCACATATTCCAATTGAAAAGTGTTATGGGCAGGGTTACGATGGTGCTAACGTTATGAGTGGAGTTTACAGTGGTGTACAAACCAGGATTAAACAAATCCAACCAAATGCTGAGTATGTACACTGTAACAGCCATAGTTTAAATTTGGTAATTAATGACTGCGTAAATGGTTCGCATGATATCTTATCATTTTATGCTACTCTTCAAAATATTTATTTATTTTTTGGAAATAGCTTAAAAAGATGGGACCTTCTCTCTATATTTACTGGGGAGTCTGAAGTTACATTGAAAAAACTAAATCCAACTCGATGGTCTGGTAGACTACAATCATTAACAGCTGTAAAAGTTCGATTTATGGATATTTTAAAGGCTTTGACTGAAATAATCCTTAAATCGACCAAAAAAGAAGAAAGAAAAGAAGCACTTCAAATAAAGAAAAAAAATGGGGACATTCGATTTTGTTTTTATCTCTGTTTTTTTATTTAAGGTAATGTGCGAGGTTAATTATGCTTCAAAAACTTTACAAAAACAAGAAATAGACTTGGAGGAAGCTACTGAAGTTTTAAAACACGTTCGTGAAAAGTTAAATTACAATAGAAATTCATATGAACAAATCAAATTAGAAGCAGAAGAATTGGCACGATAGTGGGACATCGAAACTAATTTTCATTCAAAAAGGCAACCAGTGAAAAAGCAACATTTTGATGAATTGGCTTCAGATCATCGGTTTCAGAAGAGAGAGCAATTGTTTAAAATGAATGTTTTTTATTTTGTATTGGACAAAATCAGTGTACAAATTGAACAACGTTTTTCGGGAATGCAAACCGTGAAAAACCTTTTTTGCTTCTTAGAACCTAAAAACATAATAAATTTGCCTGATACAGATATCTTAGAAATGTGTGAAAATGTTTCCAAAAAATATTCGAAAGTTATCTCTCCTCTTTTTGGTAATCAATTTCTGCAAGCAGTTTCATTGTTGAAAACAGACTTAACTTCAAAAATGTCGATTAAGCAATTTTCAGATTTACTCCTCACTAAGTACAGTTGCTTAGAAAGTAAGTTTTCAGAAATATATACAGTTCTAATGTTGTTCTTTACCCTACCAGTAACTGTGGCTAGCGTTGAAAGATCTTTTAGCAAATTAAAAATAATAAAGGACTATAAAAGAAATTCTATTGGTCAGAGTAGGTTAAAAGAACTAGCGATACTAGCTATTGAACACAAAGAAGCAGCACAAATGGATCTTAAAGAATTAATATGCAGTTTTGCAAATGCAAAAGCTAGAAGGAAAAATTTTAAATAATTAAAACATGTGAGATTCATTATTTCTTCGTTTGAGAGTTGGTTATAAAATGTTTTATATTTAATATTGCATATGGTATACCTTTTCTCTCTTTATTTACTGAAGTTTACATTTTATTTAGTATTTTATAAATATATTTTTTAAGCAAAATTTTTGTATTATTCCTATAAAATTATTTTGGAAATATTTTAGTTGGGGGGCCCTTGCACTGGTTTTTGCCTCAGGGCCCAAAAATCCTAGCTACACCACTGCTGTTGCTCTACTCAAAACTCCACTAAAACGTCTTACAAAATTGACTCCTAACTATGCAATCCTTAAATTAAAAGAATGGTACATTATTACAAAACACGAAACTTACCCTATTCCACTAAAACTAAACAACAAAACAAGCCAATTTACAACTTGCAACCAATTCAAAACGCGTTTCTACAAACCTCCCACTGGTCGTCTCATAGATAAGCAAAGCGTTGCGAACTCTTATACATGGACTTTATTGTGCCTTTATAATTACCAAAGCTAATAAATACACCTTCGAGGTAGTTAAAGAATACACGAGCTATTCATTTGTATTACTTTGTCAGAATAAAACAGCTGACACTGTGATAAGACATATTCTCACTCTTTTTTGACGATTTGGTTCACCATTATAAATTTACTCAGGTCGTTGAACAAATTTTGAAATTATAAAACTCATAGTATTTCTACAAAAGAACGATTTAATTAAAACCAGAACTACTCTATATTACCCTCAAGACAACGGTCAATGTGAACAAATAAACAGAACAATGATAAAAATTGTTTGCCTGGCCCTGAAAACATTAAATCTAAAAAAAGAAAAATGGAAGGTAGCACTGCAAATGACTCTATCCTCTTTAAAGAGGACCTCTGTGTACTGCTACTAACCTCATCAGAAAATGATGAGTTTTCAACGCTTAATAATAATAGGAAACGGTTCTACAAAACTTTCTAACAAAACATGGTTTCACAATTCTCTCTTTATACAAATAACTCTTTATTTGTATAAAGAGAGAATTGTGAAACCATGTTTTGTTAGAAAGTTTTGTAGAACCGTTAGGTCTACTTGTTGACAGATTTCAGTTAATAGAAACAGCATCACTCCACTAATCACAAATTTCAAAATGGAAAAATTTATAAGGTTTCAACAAAAGATCAAGCCCCTCTACAAGATATAAATGCACCAACAGAAACAATCTTACAACAGTCCAATGATTCAAACAATGACAAACTTGTTATTTGCACAATTCGGAAATAGAAACCAAGACAACCATTTACGCAGAAAGTTACTACACCTAACGCACAGTCTTACATATCCTTAAGAAAATTACGTATTATTAAAAGCCATAGTATCTTAAACTTAGTAATTGACGTCACTGCCGGTCATTAAAATTAATATGGTTAGTTGAACTGGAGATAATTACATAATTAATACACTATACCGTAAAATTACCTAAGTTCGGTCACAAGCTTTGAACATTAACAAATTTTAATTTTTTTTTCCTGAAACATACAGAATAATTATATAAATAATTGATATGAGTTTGAGTTTATTTATTTCAGAAATCAATTATGTAATACATTTATATATTTTGATGAGGAAGTGCTACGCCAGGCACTTCCATGCTGTAAGAAGACACTCGTGTGTCCGATCATTCGTCTATTACGAATTTCAATTTATGAACACTAACCTTGAACGAGTTGACTGATTCAGCTCTTATGGAGTTTAAAGGTAGCGTATTCCAAACATTCACGGTGCGATTAGTGAAGAAATTAAATCTTTCTTGACAGTTTTTTACCCTTTGGCGTTCGAGTCGAAGATAATGTCCACGTAAATTATATTTGTAAATCGATGGTGCGTAGACTTGAGGGTTATCAAAAATAATTTGATCAATACCTTTTGAAATTTTAAACTGTTGAATCAGATCACCTTGAACTCTCCTTTCCTTAAGAGTAGTTAAGCCGAGATGAAAGAGTCTTTCTTCATATGACAAATGCTTTATTTCCGATATTGTTTTAGTTGCTTTTTGCTGTACTTGTTCTAGAATAGCAATGTCTTTTTCATTTTGTGGTGACCAAGCCTGATAGCAAATTCTAACTGGGGTCTTATATATGTTTTGTAGAGTACTTTCCACAAAAAGACTCCACGACTTCTAAAAATTTTCTTAAGTCTACCAAGCTTACTGTTGGCTCTTGCTGCTGCTGATTCGACTTAATAGCTTACTTTAAGATCGTCTGATAGAAGTACTCCCAGATCATGTTTGTGTTTAGTGACGTCCAGTTGAATTCTGTTTCCATTCAAGTCAAGCATTGAATAAGTTTGAGTAGATTTAGAGTAACCACGCCCAACGTGCATAACTTTACAATTATATATAATAAAGTTAAAAAAAAACTAGTACTAGATATTTAATTTCAAATGAGAAAATCTACTTAGATAGGACTTTCAAGACCCTCGTATATGTTCGGTCGCTGTATAAATCCTAATAACGTATCACAAACTTAATGTCACAAATAATAAAAATTAATTTTTAAATATTTTGTAAAACATTAAAACAGCATCGTACTAACTAATTTTATTTTTTGTGATATTTCGGTCTAATTTGTATAGACTATCATCAGACGTAAAATACAATTTTAATTTTAGTTCAACATTTTAAACATTTTTATTTGTATTTTTTAAATTTCTAACATTTTTAAATTGTATTTTACGTCTGATGATGATCTATACAATTGTATAGACCATACAATTCTAATTTAAATTAGACCAAAATATCACAAAAAAGAAAATTAGTTAGTACGAAGCTGTTTTGATGTTTTACAACTTATTTTAACTTTACGTACAACAAGAAATGTCGCTGAAACACTTTTAAATATTATATTATTATAAAACGATGATATAATATCAGTTAGTACCAGTAGCCAAGGAGGGCGTCGCCCCGGTCTCAAAAAAAAAAAGTTATTTGGGCGCCAAAAAACAACAACGAGGAGCACAAAAAAAGAGGACTCTTTATTTATAAATAGTATCATTTTTATTTTATAGTCAACTATTTCATTACTTTGGCTTTTATCGCTTAGGCTATGTCACTGGTTAATAACATTAAAAGTATACATTTTGATTCAGGTCGTATCTTTTCTTCTTTTAACTCAGGTCGTATCCTTTAGGTCGTATTCAGGTCGTATCCTTCAGGTCGTATCCTTCAGGTCGTATCCTTTAACTCAGGTATCCTTTAAGTCAAAAGTATCCTTTAGGTCGTAGGTATCCTTTAAGGTTGTAGGTATCCTTAGGTATACTTTAGGTTGTAGGTATCCTTTAGGTCGTAGGTATCCTTTAGATCGTATTCTTGTTGTATCCTAAACTCAGGTCGTATTCTTTCTTCTTTCTGAAGTTGCGCTTTCTATCGCTTTTCTAATCTTTTTATTTAGTTTCATTTTAGATTAATCCGTTGTTCGTATATAGTTCGGTATAGAAACTATTTGTGTTATTTACTTAAAGAAAAAGAAAAAACTTATTTAAAAAATTATTATAAATTAATATAAAATATATATAATTTATATTCGTAACATATATATATATATATATATATATATATATATATATATATATATATATATATATATATATATATATATATATATATATATATATATATATATATACACACACATTTATAAACAATTTATTATTACTATAAAAATTTATTAAACTATTATTTAATCATAAAATATGTCAAAACCAGTGGACGTTACGAAGTCTTTATGGCTTGAAGAAGGAGTGATAAAGAAACAGTGGCAGGTTTTAATCTTTTTAACCCTTTTTTTCCTTTCAGTAATAGTAAGGGAACTTCGAACGGAAATTCAATCGTTTAAAATATCACATGAAGCACAGGTAAAACATATTAATGAACTCGAAACCGCATTGAAAAACAAATGTGTGCCATCATTTGCTAAAATTGTAAAATGAAATTCCAATGAAATTAAAGCAAACAGATGTTTAATCGCAAAAATATTTTCAAAGGAGCAATCAGAAAAACAAACACAAGGAGCTAAATATAATTATATCCAATATTCCAGAGAGTAAAAAATCCGAGAAAGATAAAAGTGAAATGGACGATAGTGATAGCGTTTAAACTTTTTTAATACGATAGGAGCATCAGATTTGAAAAATCAACCACATATCCAAGCCACCTTTAATACAGCAGATGATCAAGAAAGAGCTTTGAATCTTTCCCTACGACACTCAAGAGAAGAGTATGAAAATGCATTTGTTAGAGAAGATAAAATAGAAGCACAGCAAACAAGTTTTAATGAGTTGAGCGATGAAAAACAAACGATTAAACAACAAATTAATTGAATTAGATCTCTTGGACAAGCCCTTTCTTTACGTTATCCATAGGCGCCAAGAAAAAGTCAAACAATTAATGCAGTTGAATCACAGCGTTTACAACAAACAGTCTTCGTCAGTGAGGCCATTGTCAAAACATCAATTAAAAAAGCCAACACAACTGACAGTTGTGCACTATAACCCTAACACAAAACAATCTAATAAAATAAAAGATTTATCTCACAAGTGTCAGAAAGAACAGCAGTCAATAAACAGATTATACTTTTGGTCAACGAATGCAAACTCTCTTGACAAAAAGTTTCAATAACATCTTTTTTAAGTAAAATAATAGAAAATCGCATACGTGAAGCAATTATGAAATACTGTAGGGAAAAAAATATTATCTCGATATCTTAACACGGTTTCATCTTTAAAAAAGGATGTGTTACCAATTTACTTGAAACTTTGGACATTGTTACAAAAGCCATACAAAACAATTATGGAGTTGACATAGTGTACACTGAGTTGTGTACACTATGTCAACTGCCTTCTTCTATTTGTTCTCTATGTCAATGTTTTACCTAGCGACATACATCATTCTATAAAGCTCTACGCTGACAATAGTAAGATAGTTGGAGTTATTAAAACGCCAGAAGATGCTAATCTACTACAAAAAGATATCGATAATACAGTCCTATGGTATAAAAAATGGCATCTAAAATAAAATTTTGAAAAATGCAAAGTCATGCAATTTAACTTTAGTAAAACAAAGTCTAACGCAAAATATTTTACATCAGGATACAGTGACGACGGACAACAATAAGAAATTAAATTAACCTCTTTAGAGAGAAATTTTGGAGTTTTGATTTCCGATGACCTTAAACAAAAAAATCAAGTCAAAGCAGCTGCTGCTAAAGCGAATCAAGTACTTGGTACTCTAAAAAAAATATTTAAATGTAGAGGGTTATCACTCTGGAAGTCTCTTTATACTACCTACGCCGCCCACACATTGAGTTTGCTACACAAGCTTGGTCACCCTATTTAAAAAAGGTATAAAAACTCTTGAGCGCATTCAAAAAAGAGCAACAAAAGTTATATCTAAAATAGCACACTTACGATGTAAGACTCAAAAGACTATGCTTAACAATACTTTAATCATGAAAAAAAAGAGCTGATCTTATTCATTATTTTAAGTTTATCCTTGGTTTTGATCTCATCACTTGGCAAAATGAACCAGCTTGTTCACTTAGAATCGAAGGTCCAGTGGATCACACCCAGCGCCATAGAGAAAGATTAATGTGTACTTTAGCGCCCAGATTTCCACAGCGACAAAATTTCTTTACACATAGATTTGTTAAAATGTGTAATAACCTACTTCAGAGTGCGGTAAACGCTAAAACAATTAAAGATTTTAGGTCTGCAGTTGATCGTTATTCCGTCGAAAATGGCATTAACTAATTATATGCGCGTTATTGGTTTTGAAACATGGTCTGGATATAGTTTATGTGGTCAGTAGCGTTGACATTTCTGAATCGGATCTGATTAAGGAAATCTGATAAATTCCTTTTTGCATAAAATTAATATAAATTTTTTTTAATTAACGAATTTTATGTATAGTTTTATGTTTGCACCTAAAAATATATAAATTAAGTTAAGCTTTTTAAAAAAAAAGCTTTGTATGCTTATTGGCAATTCTTACACATATCGTCGATTAAAATAGCAAGATTCACTCAACTAATCATGAAAGGATTTGCAAGACATCTATAACTGTTGTTGAGCTGTAATTTTATCTACAAAAAAAATATCACAAGCTTGATACTTTTTAAAATTCAAAGAACTGTCATAATAACTGTTTAGATATATGAAAGTCGCTTGAGACTCTGATATAATCGAAATTATAATTACCACTACAAGTTGTCACTTCCGTTGTTTAATTAGTAGGCTTGTTAAACAAATCAGCCAAACATATGCCAAACATTTTTGAGTCCTAATTAAATAAGCCTATTGTTTTGTTTTTTTCACGCAAAACCTTTCTAGTATTTCGTTTTTTTTATTGTGTGTCATTGTTTGCTTATTTGTAAGTTCTATAAAAACTTCTTCAGAAGTCATAATGTCACTTTCCGTTAGACGCATGTTGTTATTAGACGCATGTTGTTAATGTAACTTTTCATGAGGCGCATGATGTTATTAGGAACATTTAGCTTTGACTCTGCATTGTTTACTTTGAGGGTGTAATGAGGGTGCATGTAAAGTATTTAAAATGGATGTATTTAAATGTTCACAAGCAGTTGTGCAGTTAAAGAAGGTCTTAGCTCAAAGAAAGTTATGTACTTGAAGTTCTATGCTTCTTTATACTTAAAGGAATTTCAGGAGTTTTAGGAATTACGGTGACTGGTATAATAAATGAGCCGTTTTAGCAACCCAAGGTAGCTAGGTATTATGAGATCTTTGAAACTGTTTTGAATGAAATGTTTGTTTAAGATTCCGGACTATTTACTTTTCACTGTCTTGAATACGCCTACATCAAGTGACAGTAGTATGTTAGATGTATGAGCCGATAGCTCAAAAATAATAATATTTTACTCTTTTGCTAAATGAATTTATGTGAGGGATGGCCATGTAGAAAAAGGACTTTAGATTATTTAAACTTGCGACAATGTGGGACAAATGTCTCAATTTAAACTATCTAGTAAAGTAGGTCCTTCCATCCATCATATTAAACTTTAAATTTTATGTAACCTTTTAATTTTAGAAAAAAAGTTTAAACTTGTAAGGTGTTTTCAAAAAGTAACCTTATTTTTTTCAATTAAAGTTATAATTCCAGGTCACGTGCAATAACTTTCATTTTAGACTTTCATTTTTCTTTTTGAAGTGAAGGTTTTTTAGACCCTGCTGTTTTTTCCCTGGTATAACGACTGTATTCGTTTTATTATAAATTCATCAACTAAATCATTATTTTTTTTAGTTAAAGTAACTTAATAAAACAGTTCTATCTTCTCTTTTAACAATTTCGAAGCATTTCAACCTTTTACAGTTACATTCAAGCAGTGTCGGACCGTACTATAAGGCAAAAAAGGCAGCCGCCTAGGGCCCCCAACGTTTAAGAGGCCCCAAAAAGTTGAAAATGAAGAAATTAAAATTAAAAGTTCATTATCGTGTTTAAAAGGGTTTGTAGTGAAATATACAGTACTTACATCAATTTTGTCATGATTTTCTGGATAAATATTAATAATAAAAATTACTTAAAAATTGAAGAAAAATAAATATATGTGGGGGAAGGGGGGCTCCACATCCATGTCTGCCTAGGGCCACTAAACTGCTCTGTCCGGCACTGCATTCAAGCCCTGTTTTATGAGATGCTAGCCTTTGTTTTTTTATACTTTCGCGCAATCTTTCTTTGTTTTTTCTTTTTTTAGATTTTTTTGTTACTTGTTCTAATGCGCAGTGGGCCAGGTGGTAGACAAAACCTCAAAAAAAAAATTTCGAAATACTTCCAACTACTTAGTACATTATATTTATAAGAGCATGGTTTAAAATATGGTTTATAATAAAAATATGGTTTAAAACATTAATTGTAGTTTGATTGTACATCATAAATGTACAATTATTATTTACAATTGAATATAATGATTAATTAATTTTTTTCAATATACCATAACAACATAACTATAACAACAAATAACTTTTAAATTATTTAACATATGCGAAATTAATTGACATATTATTAAAATTTAATTTGATAGCTTTTCAAAAAATACCATAACAAATTCCAAGGTCTTGTATTAAAGTCACAGTTTTATTTTGAAATATAAAGGTAAGATTCTTGTTTATAGTATAAAAATATTATGTTAAAAGTGGCTCATATTGTTTAGAACCTGCTGGAGCAGCATATTAATGGTAGAATAAGTTAATACAATATATGTACAGCCTGTTGGTGCTGTTTTATTCTGCTCATAACTGCCCCTTTAGGTTTGGTAAACATTTAAAAAATATATATTGTTGTAAAATGCTATTCGCGACAAACCTATTTTTTGGTTTGTTGTCATTATTAGGTGTTGTGCTTATTGTACTGGCCTAATTAAATATATCTGAAATAAAAATAATGGCCATATTCATGTTATATTAGTTTATAGTGGTTGCACTAATAATTTTAAATTAATTTTTTTGTAGTTGATATGAAGATAAGTGATGTCCATAACCGTATACGGCATGACCAACTAAATCCGAGTGATAAATCATTTTCTTTGTCTGTAGAATCTATTTTAGTCTCTATGAATTTGGGTTCTACTGGGTGTGCTGCATTTTTAAAAGTTTATCAAAAGAAATGGAAGGATGCAAACCGAGGAAACATAAAGTTTGAGAGTAAAAATAAAAATTGGTTGACTCAGGACTTTAAATCTACATACAGTAATAATATATCTAAGCCTGATAATTCTAGTCAATTACATAAGATTGGTGGAAGACCAAGTTGTTCCTTTAAAGATGCTTCTGACAAAACCAAAAGGAGAAGACTTAATGATATTATAAATAATTTTTCTAGTGATGAATTGCTCCACTCAGCAAGGCTTAAATTAAGAAATGAGTATAATTATGAGGCTGCCAAGCAAGTTGCTGAGATATCAGAACCTTCTAGTCAATTTAAAAAGTATACACCTGATGAAGGTCTGGCATTAATTATAGATGGTGGCATGTCAAAATCAACCTACCAACTTATGAGAAATGGAGCTGAAGAACGTGACTGCCATATATATCCTTCATTCAACAACATAAGATTGTCCAAAGCTAAGTGCTATCCAGAGAACATCTTTGTTGATGATTATTCAGCACATGTACCACTACAAGAATTATTAAAACATACAGTAAAAAGACTTTGTGAGGTGTAAGCTCCTGTGATCAGCACAATGCTAGATGGTTTGACCCGGTTGACTTTGCGTTGCAAGGCTGGGTTTGATGGGGCTACTGGGCAAAGCATGTACAAGCAAATTAGTAGTGAGGAAACTGGAGATGGTAACTTAAAAAAAGAAGAATCTCTGTTCATTACCTGCTTAGCACCACTAGAACTCAGTGGGTTCTGTAATAACAAAAAATTACTATTATGGCGAAATGAAAAGCCATCATCTACTGCATATTGTCGTCCAATAAGATTTTCTTTTCAAAATGAAAGCAAAGCAGTTGTTATTGAAGAAGCAAAATATTTAGAATCTGAAATCAAAAAATGTGGTGTTTTTAATTTTACTTTTAATGGAAAGGAACTGGTTGTCAAAAGTATTATTGAACTGACCATGATTGATGGCAAAATTCAAACTATTCTGTCTCATGTGACTAACTCAACTCAATGTTGCTCTGTGTGTGGTGTGTCTCCAAAAAACACGAATAACTTAGAAATGGTGCTGAAATTGGACAATTCTAATAATTTAGAATTGAAATATGGTCTTTCTAGCCTGCATGCCTGGATTAGGTTTTTTGAGATGGTATTGCATATTGGATATAAACTAGAAACTCAAAATTGGCAGTCTAGAGCTATAGAAGATAAGGAAAATGTTATGCAAGTGAAGAAACGTATACAGACAGAATTTATGAACCAAATGGGACTAGTTGTGGATTTCCCAAAAAGTGGAGGATCTGGTAAGTGAAATTACATAAATACTTTTATATAAATCATCAGGTTAACTATCACATATATACAATTTGTAGGTACCAGTAATGATGGTAACACTGCCCGACGAGCCTTTGCAAACTATCAATCAACTGCCAAAATTTTGAAAGTAGATGAAACTCATTTTATTTTTACATCATACTAGTCACTTTATCATCTAGATTTGAAATTGACACTGTCAAATTTAAAGAGTTCTGTATTACTGCTCTTAAACTTTACATATATAAGTATTCCTGGTATTACATGGCACAATCAGTACACAAAATTTTAGTTCATGGCCGTGCCATCATTGCTAGACAGTACTTGCCAATTGGACTGATGTCAGAGGAGGCCCAAGAGGCCTGTAGCAAGGATTTTAAAAACTTTAGGGAAGATTTCAGTAGAAAGACTTCCAGAATCGACACAAATCGTGACCTAGTTAACAGGCTACTTGTATCAAGTGATCCTGTCATAACATCATTAAGAAAGTGTCATAAAAAAAATAAGAGTAAGAGTTTAAAAAAATACCCCAGTGAAGTTTTGGCTTTGCTGAGGGAATCAGCTCCACCTTCTTCTTTTTCTTTGTAGCTAAACACAATTTGTTGTTTGATTTTTAAAAAAGGTTGATATTAAAAAAAATATTTTTTTAATACCTAAGCCTATTGAATGTCCTCTTTTTTATTAAAAATTAAAATATTCTTGTTAAAAATAAATATTATTTCATATATAATGATTATTTATATATCTAAATGGGTTTGTGGACCAATTGGGTAATAATTAGATTTTGTCCACCACTTCCCATATACCTGGCCCTCTGTGTAATGGTTCAAATGTCGCCATTTTTAGTAATAAACATTAACCGAATTATCTGCGAGTATTGTGAAAAAATAGACTTCGAGCTTTCAATGCTTTCAAAGTCTTGATAATACAGAGTAGTGTTTGGTTTATGTCTTTTAGTAAATTTCGATTGTTTAAAAACTTGTTTTTTCGGGGAGGTAACTATTTGTATATTAAAGAAGAGAGGCACAATTCCATGAAACTTTAAATATACATAAAATCAAATACAAAAGATGGTTCTGTAGTTTATAAAGCTAGAAAATAAAAAAAGTCAAAATTTTTAAAATGTGACCTTGCCGTTTCTTCCCGTGGAGTCTTCATCTAATTTAAATGCCTCTTAAAATAAATACCCAAATTCATCATAAATTACCTTTGTACTTCAAATAATACATGAACAAACAAGAGTGTACCAAAAGCATCACAGCAGACGAGTATGTGACTTAAGCTTTTTTGTTGCTATTGCAAAGTTTTTTAGCCTTTTTACACCTTTCGACACATTACCTTAAATTTTCCTTAATCACATTGAAGGCCAGATTCATCGCGCGATGAATCTGGCCTTCAATGTGATTGCAATTGTGCCTTCAATTGCGCCTGTGCCTTCAATTGCGATTGCAATTAAAAATGTAGAATGGATTACATATCATAAACTAATGCAAGCTTTGATTAAATCATAAAAAATTATAAAGTATTAAATTATTATTAAATAACGCATTTGATTCAAATTAACCAAGTAGTTATTAACAACACACAGTATTTCAAGTTTAGTCAAACTAAAACCAATATCACTTATAAATTTTTAAATTTTTTTACCAATATGTCCTTGATGTTTTGCTCAACTTTGTTGAGCGACAATATTAAGAGCATTTTAATAAACAACACCTACTTAAAAGTTGGTTAGCCAATTTTTTAATACGCTTGCCGTTACTTCTGTTAATAAAAGTTAATCTTTCGTGGCCAAATGTTATAGCTACTTTTCTTTTACTCATACCTTTGTCCAGCTTTCAAACCGCAAGCCATCCGTGCTTTCTCACATAAATCCATAGATGACATAGATATATTAACTTGCAAAAAAATAATTCAGTGCGTTTCATTATATTTTATTGTTTTGTAATTAGTTAATTTGTAAGGAGTGTTGTAAATTTACCAGTAAATTTTGAAATCAAAACTTATTGGTATATTTACCTGAAAATTGACCGGTAAATTTTTTTTTAAAACAAGTTAATTTTGAAATTATTAATGAATTTTTTGTTCCAACAAAATACAATGTCAAAATTTACTGCTAAACTTACAGGTAAAGTTCCGGTATATTTTACAGGTAAAGTTCCGGTATATTTTACAGGTAAAATTCCGGTTTTACATTCGCAACAGTAGTTCATATTCACAGTTCGTCACGTTCGTTGTTTACCCATCAATTGAAGTTAAAGAATTTCAAAACTTTACTAACTTTAGAAAAACAAGTTGTTAATATTTGAAAATTAAATTTTTTTTTGTAAATATAATTAATTTAATGATTATTAGTAATATTAAGGTTAAACTCATTTATATTAATACGTTAAAATTAAAGAGTATGCCTTTTTTCAATTTGTGGTTGCCAAGGAATTATTTTTGCAGGTTGCAATGAAACATTATATATATATTTTTATAGATTTATATTTACGAAGTAATAAAAAAGGGGCGACTAAATAAGTGCAAATTATGTAATTGATAACTGGCATAAGTGCGAACTGGCATAGGTGCGAACTGACATAAGTGCAAATCAGTTGCAAAAACTGGCACAAATTGAACTGAAATAAGTGTAAACTGGCATAAGTTCGCCGAATGAATTTGCAAATATTGGCATTAGTGCGATCTGGCATGAGTGCAAAGTAGCATAAGTGCAAAGCAGTTGCGAAAACTGGCATAAGCGCGAATCGAACTGGCTGCACCGAAAGAATTTGCAAATATTGGCATAAGTGCGAATCGGCATAAGTGCCAGTTTGCACTTACACCAATTTTTGCAACTGTTTCGCTCTTATGCCAGTTTGCACTTGTGAAAATTCCGCTTATTCAGCCTCCCGCTTTAATGGTGTTATACTTTATATTTGATAAAAGCCAAAATATATAAGACTCTTTAATTGACTACAGACAAAATGTAGCAACACTCTAAACAAAAAATGAATCGCTAACTTGAAAAAGGGAATATGTTATGTGAATTTTTGCAGGACATGTCCCCTTTTTCAAGTTAGCGATTCAAATATAAATGAAAGAACTATTAATTTCTATATTTTTTTTTTTTTTTTTTTTTTTTTTTTTTTTTTTTTTTTACATTTTAAGTTTACATTTGTCGTATTACGTATTGTATTACGATCTTCTTTCAGAAACCTTGTTTGTAACAAATACAAACAAGGTTTCTGAAAGAAGATCGTACTGATCTTATCATCAGAACCTTTTACAAGCATTTAGCATAATTATTTACAATGTATATAATCTATTTATAAAATAAACAGTAAAAGTAAATAGTAAAACAAAAAGATAAAAAGTAAAACAAAAAGAGTCGTTACATATAAAAAGTAAAACAAAAAGAAAAGTAAAACAAAAAGAATCGTTACATATAACGTATTTTACAATTAACATAAAACGTATTTTACAATTAAAAAGTTCTAAATAAAGGTACATAATTACAATTAGAAGAACCTTATTATGTCATCGGAAAATAAAATTAAATTTTTGAGTTTATGTTTAAAAATTGGAAAAGTGTAAAATATATTAAAGTTTGGCAAAACAACTTCATTCCAAAGATATGGCGCACGATAAGCAATACCATACTGGTTAAACTTTGTTCGACAAAAAGGTTTATGCAAAAATTTATTATTTCTAAGAGTATATTTATTTATTGGTTTTTCACAAAAGAGAACTTTAAAGATAGGTAGGGATAAGTCATTTTTCCACAAATACATAAAGCATAAAACATTAAACACATTAAGTTCGTAAATATTAAGAATTTTCATTTCAATAAAAAAAGGTTTGGAATGAGTGTATCGATCCGCAAAATTAATTAAACGGATCGCATGCTTCTGACGGCGGTAAAGACATTTTAATTTGCTTTTTTCTGTGCTTCCCCAAGCAATATTTGCATAATTTAAATAGGTATGAATAAATGTGTAGTATAGTTGGGTTAAATCTTTTTTACATAGATATGTTCTCGATTTATATAAAATTCCAATGCTTTTAGAAATTTTTGTGCTAATATAGTCAATATGCGCTTTCCATGTGATGTTTTCATCAAGAAAAACACCCAAAAACCTTGTGACATAGTGTCTTTTTATCACAGTATTATCAATAAAGATTTCTGGTAAATTTTGGGGTAAATAAGGTTTTTTTGCGATTGGATGGAAGAGAATCCATTTTGTTTTGTTACTGTTAAGAGTTAGCTTATTGCATATAAACCATTTTGATATGTTTTTAAGTTCATCGTTCATACTAGAAAAGAGTTTGTAAATATCATTATCGGAAAGAAATAAGTTGGTGTCATCAGCAAACATTATACTCATTAAATTTGAGGCTTTATTTAGGTCGTTTATATAAATCAAGAACAACAGTGGTCCCAAAATGGAGCCTTGGGGAACGCCACATGAAACATTTAGGAACTCATTTGGATAACAACTATTACTAAAAACAAATTGTTTACGGTTAGATAAATAACTTCGGAACCATTTATAACTTTGTAATTTATTCCATAGTATTTCAGTTTTTGTATCAAAATTTCATGATCTACAGTATCTATATATATTTATCTACAGTATATATATTTATCTACTTTCATTATCTACAGTATCTATATATATATCAGTATATATATTTCCATAACTTTTATAAAATCTCGACCTTATATGAAAATTAGGTTATAAAAAGAACACGTAATAATATCAATAATTTCATGTTTTTTCGTCCAAAATGAAAATTGCTGTAAGGGGTCGTCCGTAAATTACGTCACGTTTTAGGAGGGGGGGAGGTTAGTGGTTTTGTGACGGCTCACACGGAAGTTGCTATTAAAGAGTTACGATGTTGTGACAAGGGAGGTAGGGGGGGGGGGAAGTGAAAAATAATAATAGCAATAATTTCATATGAACCCGAAAAGAAATTTTAATGTGGACATTTACAAAAAAATTATTAA